TTAATTTCCCTGTCTTGCTGTATAGCTCTTGCTAAGACTTCCAGCACAATATTGAATAGGAGTGGTGACAAAGGGCATCCTTGTCTGGTTGCTGTTTGCAGAGGGAAGGCTTTCATGTTCTCTCCATTGAGAGTAATGTAAGCTGTTGGTTTTGTATATATGCTCTTAATTATGTTGAGGAATTTCCCTCAATTCCTATTTTGTTGAGTGTTTTTTTTTATCAGGAATGGAAGTTGGATTTTGTCAAATGCCTTCTCTGCATCAATCAATATGATCATGTGGTTATTTTCTTTTTTCTTATTTATATGGTGGATTTCGTTGATCGTTTTACTAATGTTAAACCATCCTTGCATCCCTGATATGAATCCCACTTGATCATGATGTATTATCTTTTTGATGTGCTGCTGGATTCTGTTGGCTAGGATTTTGTTGAGTTCACTCTGTTTTTGATTAGGCTATTTCATTTTCTGTATGAATGTAAGGGGGAAAAACATCCCACAAAACCCCAAACCCAGTGAGTTGATTCCAACTTATGGAGACCCCATGTGTTACAGACTAAAATGGCTTCATAGGATTTTTAGGGAGGTTGTAATTTTTACAGAAACAGTTGGCCAGGTTTTTCTTCTGCAGAGTTGATGTTGTTGTTGTTAAGTGTTGTCGAGTCGATTCCGACCCATTACAACCCTGTATAGGGTTTCCAAGGAGCAGCTGGTGAGCTTTAACCACTGACTTTGCAGTTCAAATGATGCTTTAGCCCACAGCGCCACACCAGAGTTGATAGGTGGGTCCAGACAGCCGACCTTGAGGTTAGCAATCAATGTACAAACTACTCGCTCCACGATGGTTCCTTAATTTAAAGCAAAGGTCTAGAAAGTAAGAGCTGGGTGTAGTGACATGATTCCTAGAGAGTGTTTTCCTAGGGTGGCATTAAGGCCCATGGCGCTTGTAAGGCAGAAATCAAAATCAAATGGTTTTAGAAGGACTGCTAGGCCTCAGACATCATGAAAGTCACTAGAGAGTGACATGGGATCATGACCAAGTCCATCAGGAAAACTCAAACACATCACAGGTGCTGTGAGCATGAACACTTATAGACCAGGGATGCTGCAGGGGAGGAGAGGTTTGGGGATAAGTAGAAACAGAAGATGTCTGATACTGGTGATATTAACCCCAACAGTGACATCTTTACATTTTAACACTTTCAAGAGGTCTTTTGGAGCAGAGTTGCCCAATACATCATTTGATTTCTTGATGGTTGCTTCTATGAACGTTGATTGTGGATCCAGGTAAAATGAAATCCACGACATCTTGTTTATCATGTTGTTCCTTATGAGTCCAGTTGTGAGGATTTTTGTACTAAAGGCTGCCATCTTTGGTCTTCTGCAATATTTCCAGTCCTCTTTGTTTTCAGCAAGCAAAGTTGGGTCATCTGCATATCAAATGTTGTGAACAGATCTTCCTCCAATCCTGATGCCATGTTCGTCTTCACAGAGTGCAGTTATTTGGAATCTTTTCTCAACATGTAGATTAAATAAATATAGTGAAAGGCTATAATTCTGATAGTCATCTTTTCTGATTTTAGACCACTCAGTATCCTCATGTTTTGTTTGAACGACAGCCTCCTGGCATGTACAAGGTCTATGTGAGCACAGTTACATGCTTTGGAGCTCCCATTACTAATTAGCATAGTTAATTAATTAATTAGGAATATCAGGCTAATTAATTAATAAGGAATATAAGGCTGGGGAAAGTGATGACATCATCTCCCCCTTTCTCCTTCCTTCCTTCTTCTCCAACCTACCTCATGGTTCAATAATTCTTAGCCATACTTATTGTTTGGACAATGAGGAAAGCCAGTTTATACTCTGAAAGTAGAAACATTTGGTGCATCATAGTCAGACCAAGTGCTGTACTTAACCGACAGTCAGGTCTGAGTCTGCTCCTCCACTCTATGAGATGTCCATGGTTTCTAACAAGTTCATCAAACCCAGAGAGCTTCAGTTTTGTAATCTGGAATATGTGGATAATAAAATTACCTACCCAATCAAAGGAATAAATACAAAGTACTTAAAATGATATATAAAAGATGCTCCCCAGATAGGAGGTCTCTACTATTCTTGAGATTATTGTGGAAATTCAGAGTAAAAAGGAGAAATAAGGGTGTGTGGAGGGAGCGCTCATGAAATGAATATAAACTTTGAATAGTAACATGAATAATACACGTTCGCGTGAAACATAAAAATTGTATAAGCTCTGATTCCGTCTCAGGTGAATTCTTCCTCTGTACTGGGATAGTGTTAGGCCAGAATCCACACTGTGGACATGGGGAACTTGGACTGACAGGCTGCTGCTCTCTTGGGAAAATATAAACTAATCACTTAAATATTTTGGTAGAGAAATGGAAATTTCTAGAGGCCACAAGAACTGGTTTCTTGGGACATAACCTAAAGCCACACTCAGGTGGGTGGTTGATAGCGAGGACTCCAGTCAGACTTGCTGGTCTCGTAGGAAGATGACAAACATGTCCCGCGTTCATGTACCGATTCACCTCCTCCTGGATCTGTCCTGACACCAAGGCCAAGCTCCTGTTAGACTCAAAGTACTATTAGTTGAAAGTGGGAACTCAGAGTAACATGAACTCGTACTAACCTTGTGATTAGAACTTTGTACTTGCTCACAAAGCCAGGGAGACCCTCTGTGTACCAGATACTCTACCTCTGTCATTTATTATACGAGATTACACAAGAGCCCAATATTATCCCTTTTTCACAGATAAAAGTATGCAGGCTCAGAGAAGTGAGGAAGTGGCCAGGCTGGGAATTGAACCCCAAAGTCTAAGTTTCTTCCATGAATTTGGTGAAGTGAGGCAGAAGCTGTCCTTGGTTCGGTTCTCTGCCCAGTGGGAAGCAGATAAAACCATTTGTGTTCCTCACCCCAAAAAGGACGGCCCCTTACCTTCTCCATTTGAGTCCAGTAGTCCAGCACATCCCTTGCAAAGTTGAATTCCTCAGGTTTATCATGGTCATTCCATTTTGGATCGCTAGCTCCTGATAAAGACCTGGAGAGTAGGTGCCAATGGGCAGAGTGGAACCTGTGACAGTTTTTGTGGATGGTCCAGATGACCTGAAACCTCGTCAGCCACTGCATGGTGGGGCAGTCTTCAGGAAACAGGGACAGACTTCCCAGGTCACCACCTGCTTTAGGAAGAGATGGCTGGTAGGTTGATCATGCAGCAGAATTAGCTCTACAGAATGAATGCATCTTCCTGCATAGCTGCCAGAGTATAGGTTTGCTTCAGCACCAGATTTGGAGGACACAACCTAAAAATTTAGGTGGGAATGGTGCTGCAAACAGTTAATGAACTTGACTCCTAACCAAAAGGTTGGAAGTTTGAGTCTACCCAAAAGCACTTCAGAAGGAAGACCTGGCAATTTACTGCTAAAAAATGAGACCCCGAAAGCCCTTATGAAGCACATTTCTACTCTGACGCTTGTCCATTGTATTCCATGAAAATATTGACTGAAGTCAACGATTGTACACACAGCTTGGAGATTCAAGCACGTGATCACCACCAACAATTAAGTTCCTCTCAGTTTCAACAGTAAGATGATAAGTTTTACTAAAAGACTCACTGAATAGACCTATACAGTTTGACTCAATTTACAATCTAGAAATTTACACCGACAAAAAAAACGAAACAAGCAAACCTGTTGTCCTCAAGTCAATTCTGACCCATGGTGACCCCATGTGTTCCAGACTAGTGCTGTTCAGTAGGGTTCTCTTAGTTGTATTCTTTATGGACAGAGATTGCCAGATCTTTCTTTGTAGCACCAAATTTGCTGGTGGGTTAGAACTACCAACCTTTAGATTAGTTGGTGATCGCAAACTGATTGAGCTAAACCTTAACCTCATTTAAATTTTGGATGCTACTCCCAGAACTCTAAGCAGCTGTGATAGCGTAGTGGTTATGAGTTGCTCTTTTAATCTCATGGTCAGCAGTTCGAAACTACCAGCAGTTCCACAGGAGAAAGGTGAGGCTTTCTGCTCCCGTAAAGATTTACAGCCTCAGAAACCCTACAGGGACACTATGAGTCAGAACCAACTCCACAGCACACCAACACCACCAACCCAGAACTCTGTCATGTATTCCTAATAGTATAGATGGTGGTTATGCGCCATGGCGTCAGTGCCGACTCATAGCGACCCTGTATAGAGTTTCCAAGACTATTAGTCTTTATAGGAGCAGAAAGCCTCATCTTTCTCCCGCGGAACTGCTGATAGTTTTGAACTGCTGACCTTGAGGTTAGTAGCCCAACTTGCGACCACTATGCTACCAGAGCTCCTTAGAGCATAGATGTTGTTGTTGTTGTTAAGTACTGTGAAGTTGGCTCCGACTCATAACGACCCTGCACAGGGTTTCCTAGGCTGTAAATCTTTATGGGAGCAGAATGCCTCATCTTTCTCCCGTAGAACAGCTGGTAGTTTCTAACTGCTGACCTTGCGGTTGGCAGCCCGACTCGATGAGTCATTGCTAAATACTCACAGTGGGTTACATCTGCAGGAAGCAGGGGTTTGTATAGGAAAAACCTTAAAGATGACAAGTATGTCCTCTTGCTCTTCGGTGGTGGCGGGTTGCTGTGGAGTCGGTTCCAACTCAGCAAGCCTGTATGGGGTTTCTGAGGCTGTAAATCTTTACGGGAGCCGAAAAGCTCATCTTTCTCCGAGGAACTGCTGGTAGTTTTGAACTGCTGACCAACTGTAAGATTAGCAGCCTGACTCCTATCAACCAATAGTGCCATCTTTTGTTTTATTAGCACACTTTTGGGCTAGAAAGACCCTAAGATAGCATATGGACCAAACCTGGCCTTCAGACAACTCTGCTAGGTCCTCAGGTTTGGGAGGAGAAAATTGAATCGCCAATATTTAAAATGTGGGTGCTGTCACTAAAAATATAAATTAAACGTTTCTCTTAAAAATGTGGAGCCCTGGTGTGGCCCTGCAGGATAATTCACTGACTGGACTGCAAGTTCGGTTTGAACAAGATCAGTGGTTCAAACCTACCAGCTACTTCTTAGAAACCCTATACAGGGTCGCTATGAGTCAGAAGTGACTCAACACCACTTGACAAGAACTTGAAAATGTGGAAGCTCTGACAAAAATTGTTATTAGTTGTGGCTCTGTAGGGTCAGCACTGGACTTGGAACCATAAGTTCTGCAGTTTAAACCCACCAGCTGCTCCTTGGAAACACTATACAACAAGTCAGAAGTGATTTCAGGACACTGAAACACAACATCAGCTGACTTCAGGTGAGAATTGGTTTCTTTGTTTTCATGGAATGTTCTCCAATTTGACAAGGTTTCCACCACACCCTATTTTGTCACACCTGCCTTCTCCACTTACTACATAAACACCACACCTTAGGCATTTCAGCTTAACATTCCTGATCCATTTCAAAAGCCCAGGAGGGGCTGGGCAGGTTTAACAACAGAACTGGTTCTAAAAGCCGGCCTTTTCTGCTATTGTTCTAACTGCACACACACATCCATGAGCTGATTTAAAGCAAAAACACCAGACTTGGTTGTCATTTTTATACACATTTATCCACATAAATAGCTTTGGTTCTTCCTTAAAATACCAGCTTGCTATTTCTCCTTTCTCCCAATAATGCTGCAGCCCCAATCCCTTAATAACTTTCTAAAGAACAAACCAAAAGGGAGAGAAATCAAAGGATATCCATTCACTTCTCTTGATCAAATAAAGAAGCAACTCCTTTGGTGCCATCTTATAAATGGGTTTGCAAATCTAGTTTATGTCACATAGGGTACTAAGCATGGTGCTCAGTTGATGACTACAGTAGTTGAAAACTTTGACTTAGGAATCGAACCACCCTAACCAAACCCGCTGCTGTGTAGATGATCCTGACTCATTAGATACCCTTTTGGACAGAGTAGAACTGTCCCACCTGGGTCTCCAAGGTTGTTCATCTTTACAAAAGCAGACTAGCACATATCCTACAATGGGGTCAAACCATGGTACTTTCAGTTAGCAGCTCCTTACCACCTCTACAACTATGGGCAATTTATGTAACTTTTCATAAACATATGGAAATATTGGCAGCCCCCAGTAAGCAAGGTAAACCATGGGGTCTCTGCTTATTACTCTGCGGTGAACAATTTCACATTTTTCCATCAAAGATTTTGCTTCTAAGTTTGGCTGGCATCTTTATCTGTCCCAAGGCACCACACCTTCCTGCAGAACCAAAGCCTCCTTTCAAATTTACAATCCCTGACAGGGATGGAGTGCCCAGTAAGCAAGGTAAGCGCAGGTTTACTTGTGCTCATTTATGATCTGTAGTGAACAATTTCACATGAATTTCACAACATCTTGCTTATTGGATAAACCATCCCTAGCAGTACCTACTTAACTAGAATTTTGCTGATGAATGAATGAACTTCTTTGTAAAGCATTTAGCACAGACCCAGTACAGGCAAATAAGATATGAATCAATATTAAGAAAACAATACGAGCCTCTATTAATTAACGTTCTTGTCAATGAAACTTTCTGGATAATTGAAAATCACTATTGGGTCGATTCGACTCCTGGAGAGCCCACGTGTGCAGAGAATAAGTGCACAGAAGGGTTTTCAATGCTGTGACCTTTTGGACACCTGTGCTTTCTTCGGAGGTACCTCTGAGTGAGTTTGAACTGCCAGCATTTTGATTATTAGTCAAGCACTTCATCTTTGTACCACCCAGGGACCCCCATGAATAATCACTGCTGGTTTTTCTTGTTAAGTCCTGTCAAGGCAGTTCCAACTCATAGCGACCCTATTAAGAGTTTCCAAGGAGCAGCTGGCGGGTTTGGACCACCAGCCTTGCAGTCAACAGTCCAGTGCTTATCCTACAGTCCTACACTAGGACTCCTCGTGAATACTAGTTGTTGTTGTTAAGTACTGTTGAGTCAGTTCCAGCTCATAGCGACCCGGTATAGGGTTTCCGAAGAGTGGCTGGTGGATTTGAACCGCCAACCTTGAGGTTCAAACCAACATTCTAGTCAAGTGAAATGAATAATTAGGCACTACATGAATTATTAGGTCTCGCAAAAGGACTTTTGGAGTTAGAGTCTAAAGAGAAAGAATGTACTTAAACTCTTCAACATGCTGTAGCAAACTCTAGCTTCTACACTAAGATATAAGAAGCTGATCTCACCATGTGCTAAGAGGACTAAACGAGAGATTATCTGTATGCATGTATGTCTTTCTCTGTAAACGGAATTTTTATATGAACTTTTTAAAGTCCATCTACACATGGAGTCCTGGTGTGGTGGTGTAGGATAAGCACTGGTCTTCAAGGTCTGTGGTTCAAACTTACCAGCTGCTCCTTGGAAACCTATACAAGGTCACTGTGAGTTGGAACCGACTCGACGGCACTCAACAACAACAACAACACTACCTAGTATGGCGCTGTAGGATAAATGCTGGACTGCAAGGTCAGTTTGAACTACAAGGTAAGCGACTCAAACTTACCAGCTATTCCTTGGAAACTCTATACAGGATCGCTATGAGTAGGACCCGACTTGACACTACTTAACAACACCTCTAGCTCTATAATTGTTTGTTGTTGTTGTGTGCCGTCGAGTCGGTTCCCACCCATAGTGACCTCTGTACAGGGTTTCCGAGGCTGTAAATCTTTATGGGAGCAGAAAGCCTCATCTTTCTCCCACGGAGCGGCTGGTAGTTTCCAACTGCTGACCTTAAGGTTCACAGCCCAATTCGTAACCACTACACTACCAGAGCTCCTTATAATTATGTTTTTTGTTGTTGTTGTTATGTGCCATGGAGTCGGTTCCGACTCATAGCGACCCTGGACAGGGTTTCCTGTTCCGCGGAACAGCTGGTAATTTCGAACTGCTGACGGTGAGGTTTGCAGCCCAATTTGTAACCACTACACTACCAGAGCTCCTTATTTATAATTATGTTTATATGAGGTAAAAGGTTATATATTTGCATGTCTATTTCTGTATCATTAATTGTCACTCCATATTTACCTGTATCAATCTATTCCTTATTGTTGCTGCAAAGTGTCACCGAGTCGATTCTTACTCATAGCAACCCTATGAGTTCTAAGGAACAGCTGGTGAATTTGA